CTTGCAAGAACGAATTGGGGCTATGCGAATAGTTGATTAATTTGTTTGTTGTTTAAATGTCTCCTTTTGGTTGAACTACTTTTCAAGCTTTCATAAGAAAAAATAAAATTTTATTTTGAAAATTCCAAACCATTTCTTATTGCCGATTCATTTTTGTATTTAGTTTCCCTTACACCTGGCAGGAAACAAAGCAGATAATCGCTAAATATATTTTATATCCTCAACTGACATTGATTAACCAAAATATCACGCCTTAGCGCTAATTGAACATTTAGCTTAATGGGAATTCATAAATTGACCGAATATGCTCAGCACAACGGAAACCCTCATAAAGTCAAGACGAAACAAGTCTCCCCAGACGGAAAGGTATTATTTGCGGCTTTATAGCGCAGGTGATTAATGCCCGCAATAAATAGTATAGGCCAGAAAAACCCGAAACTAAATGCGGATGAGTCAAAATGGGGCTGGACAAACACAGCCCGTCCGATCGATATTCAATATCATTTCAAAATGAGGCCGCCACATGCGAAATAATTTTTACACACACTTCGGAATTGTTGAGGGCGCCAGGGCGATTTTCAATATTTGTGTTTCTGAAAGCAAATTAATTAAAACTACACGTACGAAGGTTGCCGTGCGCCTTTATTGAATTATTTTTGTGGCATTTTCAATGCTGGCCAAATGGCGCCACAGTCGCGTGTAATTAGATGCGCATTTCGGCCAGAATCACTTTGGTCAGGGCGAGATGTTCAATATCGAAATGATCTAAGCTGACAAATTTCCAAAAATAATATGCATGCCCATCTTCTTACCGATGAAATGTTGATGTTTTTGTTATGATTTTGTCTTGGGCAGAAATCAGAAATATGGAAACAGGTTTCGCCCAAAAGTATAAACAAAGCCCGGTTCAAGTCACTTGTGAAATTTTTATCGTTGAGTTCATGTGGACCCCGTGCATTTGTGTATTCATGAATTTCAACCGAAACTGAATAAATCTTGTAAACGCTCTTCTGCAGAATTTTTGCATCTTTTCGAAGGTTTTTCCTCCCGACTCTCTTAAAAAATATTTAAGATGAGTCAGCTAAAAAACACATAAAGTTGTGACCGGAAATTGGATGGTGCTGGTTAAGTCATCTCGAACAAACTTGGCAAAAAGACTCACAGGTATTTCTACTGTTTACCTTGTCGAGTGGCAATATGTTTCAAAATATAAACGACATTCATTGCAGGGTTCGATTGCAGTCTTTAATGTAAACTGATGAACTTTTAATAAGGTAAGCAAACAATAAAATACATTTCATTTGTCTGGGGACATACAGATCGATGATTTTCGGGCGCCATCAATGTCGCTGTTTATTTTCCTATCATTAAAAGTTTTTTTTATTTATTTATTTTACTTTGGGGCCAACAGTTGGCAGAGTGACTGCGAGTTGGTCAGTAAAAAATGTATATTTTACTCTTATTGGTTTTGAGCAAATACATTTAATGTACGGGCGAATCAGGCAAATGGGTATTTTTCAAAGCCATATGCGACGTAGAAAAAAATAAATATAAATTCGTTTCCTGGTAACCAATATGCAACAAATTAATTGATTTAATATTTAGTGAGCGAAAAATTCCGAGAGTAAATCCATTTTGGCTTATTTATTTATAAGGCTTAAATGCTTTTAATATATTTATGTTTTCACTTTTTACGAGATGAGCAATTAAACGTAAATTATATGTGGGGGTAGTACCCCGACTCGGTAAATCTATTACTTTTTTCTGGCTCTTTTCATAGATATGCGGGCTATAAGCCACTTAAAGCCTTTGTACGTAAGAGGTTTAAGTCTTCAAAAGTGTTCATTATTTAGCCATGCAAGCCAGGTATCTGCTGATATGCCACGCAATGTGTGCAAAAAGTTGGAAGACGACCAAGCCAACAGCAATTCAAATTCAACACATTTTGCGTTTCATTCATAAAAATTCACAAATATTTGTGGCTATATTGAAGATATGTGCGAGTTTGTCGGCGTTGGATTTTGTTTTTTTATGGTCTGTCTGCACTACTTTAAATGGGTCCACGTGCCGATTTTGTGGGCGAGGGGCGGGGCTGTGGGCGAGGTTCAAGTGCCCCCTGCTTCAAATCGGTAATGAGCGTTGTTAAAATGCGTTAAATGATTTTTTGCATTTTGCGACTTCTTTGTGGGCTCCGCTTTCGTCGTCGCCTTGTCTTCACCGTTTTGCAAGCCATTTTTGCACTGCGTTTGATTTGTTTGGAATGCCTGCTGTTTGGAATTTGCCTATGAATGAAGTGGCAATATCTAAAGAGGTAACGCCAATATACCAGAAAATTTTATGTTACAGCTGTTCTGTAAAGAATAAGCATTTGTGTCTGTGGGTGTCTTAGATCGAAGGGAACAATAAAAATAAGCAATGTGCGACAGTAAAGCGACTGCTTGCACTGCTTGAATCTTATTATTCGCTCATAACTTTTTATTGAATGGTCCAATTTGAAAATTTTTTTTCTACGTTTCGATAGGTATTAATAGGCACAAAAATATGGCATTTAGACCTTTTCGAAATCTTTAAAGATGTGGACGCCAGACACACGACGTTTAGGGCGATTGTACACACAAAAAAAAACTTGGTAAAATCAACTGTAATAATTGTCAAACAGGCCCCATCTACTAAGTAAATAGTCATTTCACAACAACAAAATACACACAATTAGCAAAGACACAAACCCAAAGCAAAAACAAAATACACGTAACTATTTTAATAGTTACGTAACTATCTTTTTTGGTCAATTTTACCAAGCAAATTTTTTTTTGTGTGTAGGAAGCCCAAAATAACATGTGGTTAGTTCCAACTTTCTAGCTTTTGTAGTTTCCGAGATCTCAGCGTTAGTACGGACAGACAGATAGAATCGGAAGCGCTTTTTTCCTCTACAAGTAACGGATATATTAAAGATAAACATATCCTTCTTCCGCATCCTATAGAATTGTGTATATTGTCACCTCATTTCAAGTCCCACTCGAAGATCGCTGGGTACCTAGACGTCTCCTACTACTGAGAACTTTGCTAGGTGCTTTTGCGCACGTGAAAGATATATAGTCAGGTAAAAATAAAATAAAAACAGCGTTGAGCTATCTTAAACACGCGACATTGTCAGAGCATATTGCTTAATCTCACGTAACAGAAATTATTCTATATTAATACTCTTCGCTCTACGCGGTCGGACAAAAGATTTCGCATACATTTAGATGACTGATTTATATTTATTTGTACGTACCTACTTCAACAGCACACAACTCATTTAAATGGCCATCCTTAACCTTGAACCTAGGCGCATTAGTGAGCCAAAGTTAATAATTTAAATCAACTAATTGCGGTCATAATAAACAAATTTATTTACGACTGGCTCTGGGGCGCCTGACCGACCGACAACAAGCTGCGAAAATTCTATAATCGGCAAGAAGCGCTGCTTAATTTGCAAAGAATCCCCAGAAGCCGACAAATGAATGTGCCAAAAATTGAGGAACAAGATTTCAATACAATGCTGGCTGAATTAACACGCTATAGAAGCTGTCAAAAAGGAGAAAAAACCTACAAGAAAAGTTCACAAGCCACGGCTAAAAGGCAGACACGCGTGGCTTGCCATTTGTTTATTGTTGATTTACTTGTCTTTTTTTTTGTTTGTTGTATCGCAGCATGTAGCTGGATAGCCCAGCGACAATGCCATTAAGCTTAATGTTTATTATCTATACAGCAAGCCTACATGAAACAGCCAAACGGCAGACAGTGGCGACGGGCGGGGAAGCAGGGGAAAATAGTGACAAGTGGCAAAGTAGCAATGAACCTTGTAAGGTCTGGGCTGCTGCCGAATGGCTTTATTTCATCTGCCCCACACATCAAAAGGTAATGGAAACGGCAACGGCCATAATAGTAGCGGAGTCTCATAAATTCGGAATACATTTCAAACACCTGTAATCGTAAAAATCAGCACTTAGTCACTGCCAGTCAAAATGCAAACAAATTGTGAACGCTAAAAAGTACACAGAAATAAAGAGCAAAACGTAATAATACATAGTTGAGGAGCGTTTCGATTGTTTGCCAGGGGTATCGAGCAGGTAACTGAACTACGTCTGTATGTTGTATGTTTACGAAACAAAACAATCTCTAATCCTTCACTTATTGCAAATTAACCAGAAGTTTTGTTCGGACAGCTACGCAGATTTCAAAGGAAATGTGGATAAACATATTTCGAGTATTTCAACGAACGATCAGCATCAGCTCGAGATTTTTACTACTGAAATAAATTTAACTATTATCAACTGAAAATCTGTTTCGTTCAGCAGCTTACTGATCCTTTAAAGTTTTTTGCTTCAGTTTTTGGTTTGAGCTAAAGGCATTGTCTGCAATACTTTCGTATTATACTGAGTTAATATTTGTATCAAAATATTTTTGAATACAGGAAATTCAAGTTGGAAATTTTCATAGTTTTTGAATAATTTGTTATCGAAAGTAATAATATTAATGTTATCTCTTGCATTTAAAAATTGTAAATTAAATAGCCCAAGCATAGAAACTGTACGATATTTAATATTTGCTTTTGAGAAATATTTAAATTATTTTTTGTTGTGTTTTTGTTTTTAAACTATGATTTAACTAGAACAAAAAGAATTAAAAGTGTTCTGATCTAAGCGTGAAATCCTGAACTACCCATATTATATACATTTTCTTGATTGGGCGAATATTTACGGCCTATAAATATTTTGGCGCATTTTCCCCCGCTTCGCTGGACTAAAAATCACCAAGCTAACCCTCCTGAACAAAAACAAATTTCTTGTTCAATAATTTCACTCTTGGCAACCGACAATCAACAACTTTTGTGTTAGTTTTGTTGTTACTGCAATTTATTACAAGTGTCCCCTAGTTTGTTGTGCTTAACACTCGGATATATATAGTTATATGGCTATAGCTGTGGTTCGTATCGACTTGCACATGCAGACACTTACGTTTGGGGCCGAAATAAATATTTCGCGCTTTTTCGATTTGAGGCGCGCGATAGGCTTAAAGAAATATTTTCTGATTATCGTTGAGCCGCTGTTGTTGCTATTGCTGTTGCTTTTTTTCGGTTTTTGCCTCGCTTTTGGCCTTACCCACGTTTCTTGCGTTTTCTTTTGCGTTTTTTTATATATAGGTATATTTTACATATATGTTATGTTTTAGTGCTTTTCCAATTTCTTATTCACTTCATGTCTGCGCCCGCACACAGTCACACACTCGCTGGCGAGTTGTTCGGCATAGGGAATACGCACTGTATCGGAGCTTTTGCTGGTCGGGCCTTTAGCCGATTTTCAACCGCGACGTCAACGTTGAGCGCTTGAAATCTCGTTACTAACTAAAATAAACGAAGCGCGGTCCGACAAAAAAATCGACATCAGAGCTGCGATGTTTGCCTTTTGTTGTTGCAGCCGTCGGCGGTAACCAAGCTCGCTCGCACACACACCCGTCCCGGCCCGTTCCGCCCCACCCCTAAATGCAAGCCGCGGCTTCGAACGGCGGCAAGTTCAAGTCGCAATGTTAGGCTTGAGCTGCGATGTCGGATCGACTTTTTTCCAGCTGGTTTTGGGGATTACAATTGATTTTTAATTACAAAAAATGATACGTTTAGGTTTACTTGCTAATAGGTATATTAGTACAAACATAATTATAGCTGATTATTTTGACGGATATATATATATATAGAATATATGTATATATTGAATAAAAAATTATGAAATATTATAAAAAGAGTTACTTCTGTTATTAAAATAATTTTAATTTTCACTTTTTAACATTTTTACTAAAATATTTGAGCTGCTTAATAACAAATCTAAGAAAATAAACCAATTATATTTTTGAGTAGGTTTTATGTAAATTTTCGATTTCAGTTTAAGGATTTTTTTAGCCGAATAAAAAAATTAGTCATCTTGTAATTTGAAAAAAAATACTTGGGAAGATAATGTTTATATTATCATTAATATATAGTTATTTCTTATAAATAAAAGAAAATAAAAATTTAGCTATTTCTGCGCTAAAAACCTTCACACTGTGCTTGAGCAGGCGACGTCGGCGCTGATTTAAGTTCGAAACGAACTTTCCAACCCAAGATCGAAGGCAAAACTTGCACGCCGGCAAAAATTTACTTTGTTGTTCGCACATGTTGCTTCCGCGGGGAAGTATTTATACCCGTTACTCGTAGAGTAAAAGGGTATACTAAATTCGTGCAAAAGTATGTAACAGCTAGAAGGAAGCGTTTCCGACCCCATAAAGTATATATATTCTTGATCAGGGTCACTAGCCGAGTCGATCTAGCCATGTCCGTCTGTCCGTCTGTCTGTCTGTCTGTCTGTCTGTCTGTCTGTCTGTCCGTCTGTCCGTCTGTATGAACGCTGAGATCTCAGAAACTACAAAAGCTAGAAGGTTGAGATTTCCCACACATATTCTTGGGCTTCCTACGCAGCGCAAGTTTATTTTAGCCGAGCGCCACGCCCCCTCTAACGCCCACAATCGCCCACTAACGATTTTAAAATGGGTCCTGCGCCCACATCTTTAAAGATTTCCGAGAAGTATAAATGCAATTTTGTTGTGTATATTCATACCTATCGAAATGTAAAAGACATTTTTCAAATCGGACCATTCATTAAAAAGTTATACGCAATCAAAAATTATATATCTATCTCCCTCGCACTCCCTTTAGCTGAGTTACGATTATTAGTCGGGACACCAACCCGACACAGCGTTCGCACTCCCTTTAGCTGAGTGACGGGTATTAGATAGTCGGGACAACAACCCGACTATAGCGTTCTCTCTTGTTTTTAATTCCAATAGATTCTCCTTATTTTGAATGACTAATAAAAAATTGTCTTTCTGGATTTCTCCGAGTTTATTTATTTATTATGCTACCCCCTACTAAATATTCTGGTTGTTGGCCAATTCAAAATCTGGCATTCGCCTTTGGCATTCTTCAAGTGAGCTGAGTCCTGTGAATATTAAAAATTCCAATTTCCCCGCTGGCCTTCGACTTTGCACCTTTGTGGATTTTACAGACAACTTTTTGTGAGTCCCACCTTCTGTTGCTAGCGGCAACTGAGGCTGCCTGATGACGTCTAATTTTTCCCGAACTCGTTTGCTTACTCACACACGAAATTATGTCAGGAATGTTGGTGGGACCCGGGGCATCTAAACGGTTGTTGTTGTGGCCGTCTGAGGTTGCCCGCTGAAAGTCGGTTGATTAATTTGGAATCGAGAGTGTATCCATGGGCTGGAGTGTCTCTAAAGCGGAGCTAAAGCCGGTTAATAGCCGAAGATTTTGGTCACTTGGCAAGGGAAGGCGCGTGCCGTCGAAAGAACTGCATTCCATTTGTTAATCGGGGCTTATCCCGCACAATTAACCCAAGTCCCTTGGCTGCTGAGTCATGTTCTGGCTAAAAAGATCAGGTGATTTTATTTACGGGTCGAAAAATCCCAATAAGCCATTGACATCAGTTTACGATTACCATTTCTGCAGAGTTTTACAATCGCATTTCGGTTGGTAAAAGCAAATTTAAGTGTCTTTATGCGCGGTCAGCATGTCCACTTACCTTGCCAGCCGAGTCATTCGTACCGATTTCAACAGAAACCGTCGAGAACAGCAGTAATATATTTTTTAGCCACGCGACTTTATCAATTTCCACCGAATCGGCATAAGTATAATCGGGTGTCGATAATGCAAGAAAGCAAAAGGTCAGTGAAATGTGGAAATCGATTTTATTTGCATCTGTCTGACAAAAAACAAGTAATGGTAAAAAAAACACGTACCTTTAATACAATGTATTAAGTTTACTAATTTATAAATGCATATTGTCAAAGTGAAAAATGTAAAACAAAGTAATTCAGATAGGGACCATGTAAACTCGAATTTTAGAACGAATTAAAACTTGATGGTTTTAATAGTTACTTTTCGGCAAAGCTTGTCCATTAAACCTTTTGATTTCAATTTCCTAAGCAATATCTTTCAGTTTCCTGTGTTTCTGCCATTGACATATGTCAAAACCTGAAATATGAGAGGAGGCTGAGTTGATTGAAAGAGATACGCGTGCTCTATCTTAAAAAAAAACGGGAAAAATGTCAATCAGAAGTCAAACCGCGACTACTCACTGCAGTAGAAATTTCCGTTAAAAAAAGAAACAAAAAACGCAATTCTAAATGAAACAATACGTACGTGAGTCTCGACTAAGCTGGTTCTTCTTTAATTATAATTATTTCAAAAAATGTCTTTGGAATTGTAAAATAATATGTTGCATCAACTATTTTGGGAAATTAAATTAATTAAATTTAAAAAATTTTTTTAATAGTAATTTAAAAGCTAGGTTTAATAAAACAAAAAATAATGCTAACAAAGTTTAACAAAACGCATTTTATTAAAATTTGTTTAATTATGCAGAGATATTTATGAAGAACACCAGTATGTCGAAGTTTTGCACTATCCCAACCTGTAGATATTGCGCATTTTTTGTGTATAAACAAATGTAGGTAAATATAAACTGAAATATGGATAACTTTCGGCCATATGGTCAGATAAAAGGCAAATAGCCGTGCACCCTGCAAACGGCGAGCATACGCCATATACTATATGTGCACACAAACAAGAAGAAATCAAACAGAAGCCAAGCAGCGCTCACAATTCAATTTCAGCATTGAAATCAGATACTCCACCTAGTCGCGTTGGTGGTATAGCGGTGAGCCCCTTTGGTGGAAGTTGGGATGTAGATGTTTAGAATTTCGCACAAGGTACAAATCTGTTAACGCTTTGAAACCGCAGACAGCCACCGGAATGTTGGCGCACAGATCTATGTAGATGCACAGGGGTTTGAGATAACAAGTCACTATAATAAATGAAAATATAAATGGGTTTAATCATTTTTTCCTTCAACTTAATTGGAACTTATCTAGAAAATACTTCACAATATTGGATGTTCTGTTTTAAAGTATTTATCTTCAAAAATTTACTTGTGAAATTTTATTTTATTTAAATTAAGAGTATTTGAAATACAATATTTGAAGCGTACACACAAAGTCGATTGGTAAATATAACCAATATAATTGCAAAACTGTCCTTAACCACAGAATTGTCAATTTTACCACTCAAATAGTTACTCTCACAACAAAAATACACACAAATAGCGCTACCTTTTTATAGTTAAGTAACTATCCGTAAAGGTAAATTTTACCTATCACATTTTTTTATGTGTAGGCTGCTTTAACCTTTTTTCTAATAAACAATAATAGAAATTGGTTTTCCATTGCTAAATTCGTTTTACTATCACTATGAACCACTGTTATGCTGGTTTTTCATTTTATGAATAATGCAAATTACGGAAGGTAAATGTATATGATTCGCCTAGTTTCGAGTCTGGCATTGTCAAGCTGGTATTATTCCCTTTTATAGAGCAGAACCAATCGCGGAAAAGGAAGTCTGAAAAAATACAGGCCGAAGGAAGTGAGTATTTATTTTATAAATTGCATTTTCTGCACAATTTGCCAATCGTCGAATTTCCATTTCCCTTCAGCCAATTTAAGCCGCTTAGCCAATGTCCTTGAGTGGAATTGGAAAATGCATTTGACTAATCCACGCCCGCCCTTTCTATTAACGATTTGATAGACTTCTTTTCTGGATTCGTTTATTTGTAATATAATTTAACATTTAGATTTTGATTTCTGAATTAATTTGTACATTAGAATCAATAATAAAATTTAATTTATTTAAACGTTACTCGTACGAATAAGTAATGAACAAAGCGACAATATTTAATTGCATTTGAATATGGAAGAAATAAAGAGTAAATGTTTGGTATTCTTCACTTATTTGGAAATATTATCCCTCCTATTTTGATTACTTCGATAGTTCCTTACGGCTGGGAGGCCATTCGAATCCTGGCCGTGGCCCTTGACTTTGTGTGTATCTCAGCCGTTCGCAGCGTGATGCCAAAGATGTCCTCGTGGTAGCGACTTTCATCCTAGGAAAAATCGAAAGAACAGTGCGAAACAATGTATGTAGATTTGCCGTCATCAAATGTTGGTTTTCACCACATTGTTCAAAACTATTTGTATGCTAGCAGGGAGAAATTGCTCATACGCAGAGTGTGGCAGGGAGGAAACCCTTCACTGTCGGTATTTATAGCTAAAGCTAAAGCCTTATACCGCTAAGGATACTTACCCGTAGTGTTAGCAAAAATGTCTCAACTTCCGCCTCACTTTTCTGCTCTTTGCCGGCAATGCACTTTCTGCCAAAGAAAAAGGAAAATATGCTAAAGTTGAAGTGTGTATGGAAAATACAGGAAAATTCTGAAAAACAGTTTATTTA